AGACGTGTGCTCTTCCGATCTCCCCAAAACCCCAAAACCCCAAAACCCCATAGTGAATTTAAATCATTTTTAGGCAAAATTGTTTAATTAATTAATTAATTCATTCTACTTTTGCTTTTTCCTTGATAAAGAATTTTTTTATTAGAGGTGGAATAAGGCATACTACTGCAAATCCAATTAATTGCATATAGGTTTCTGGCTTAATAACATCTGACTTTGATTTAATCTCTGATAGAATCTATCCTCCTTGGCAGGTGAAAAAATTCCAAGGCATTAACCCAATAAAAATTGAGAAGAAAACTTGGTATGGCTTTATTGCTTCAATATGAGCGAAAGAGATGTTCATCAACCAGTTAGGGGATCCTGGGAATATTCTTAAGAAGGTCAAGTAGAAAAATAAATTGTCTGAGTGCTCATTAACTTTCGAAGATATTCCTTAGAATTAATCCTTTAACTTTCCGTGAACAATCTCACTTAGGAAAAGTTTAGAGACCATGTAGCAAGTAAAACCTCCAAAGCTATTCATCTAATAGTAGTATATAAATACATGATAGGGAAATTACTAGTACGCAAAGTACGAATCCGACTTTGACACCAAAGAATGCTCCTCCGAGTAAGTTAAAGATGAATGTGCCTGGAATGCACCAGCATTGTAAGCTAAATTATTATCATGAATTGATTGAAAACTTACAAATAGAAGCATGTAGTTTACAATAGAACAAGATAGTAAAAGTGTGTTTCTTTGTATGCTGTAAATTGTGCTGCTATTTGCTAAGCACTCTCAATGTCTGTGGGCAAGGGCAGGTTAGATATCCTAAAATAGAGTTTAAAACTAAACCTTACTTATCAAGTTTTCCAAGTATGAATTAAACTATGAGGAACTATATCAGTGCGTGCACTATAAACACGACAGGTACTATTTTCCAGGACATTTTGAGAATTCGCTATCAATAAATATTAAATTATTAAAGTTAATGACTGAGAAATTGAGCAATAATTATAATTATAAAAATGATCAGAAGTTTAGGAGACTATAAAAAGGACGATAAAAAGGGCAAAAAGGATAGTGAGTCCTATGCTGGAGGGGAAAAGAGTGGAATAGCTGTTCAACATGGAAATAATGATATCGATGCTATCATTGAAAAAGCCAGACAAGGAGGAAGAGAGGAATCTAAGAACGGTCCTCCAAAGACTGAACTTAGAATAACTTTATATTCAAATGGTTTCTAAGTCGATGATGGCCCTTTCAGACCATATGAAGCTGAAGAGAATAAGTAATTCATGAAAGAACTGAATGAGGGCTATGTTCCTAAAGAGATTCAAGATAAATATAGAGGTAAAGGAGTAAGTGTTGGTCTTGAAGACAAGAGAAAGGAGGCATACAGACCACCTACTCCACCCAAATATGTTGCTTATTCTGGTGCTGGACAATCTCTAGGTGGAGTTCAAGGTTAAGGATTGTCGGTGAACAAGAGTGCAGGAGGATTACCTCCAGTTGACGAAGATCAGCCTAAAACCACTATTCAAATTAGATTCCACAACGGAGAGAGAGCTTCTATTACTCTGAATTTGCATCATAGAGTTAGTGATATTCATGATTATGTAATGAATGCTGCCCCAGTTGAGGGAGAATATTAACTAGTATTTGGTTTCCCTCCAAAGGCAATTTCAGACCCATCTAAAACTATTGAACAAGCTGGCCTTAAGAATGCTTCAATTACTCAAAAGATATTATGATCTATGCTCATTATTTTCAATTCAAAGTATTGAAGTAATAGATCTCATTCAATGTATTAATTTTTAACAAAATCATTTCAAACTTGGTTAACTCCTCAGAATTTTAAATTGAGTTCATTTTGGGGTTTTGGGGTTTTGGGGTTTTGGGG